GTATGCATCGTGATTTTATTAAAAACATAATTACATAAATGTGTAATAATATTATATTTTCAAAATCAAGGATTGTTTGTTAAATCAAAGAGAGAAATTGCTTTAATTGTTTGTTACGAAAAATAGCAAATATCATAGTTTTTTACGAAGAATCTATAGATCTCTTATAAAAAGTTAAAACTTTGATTCACGAAAGTTTGCGAGAATGGACATAAAGCTCTGTATACTACAATAGCAAAAAATGTTTCGTTTTCGACAAGAAATTTTCGTGCAGCTATACAGTGTTTTTATATTGCAAAGCTGATTGAAATTAAGTTATACAAAATAAACGTCAGTTGTGTGCAAATCGCTTTTTATTTTCAGTGAGAGAGTTCATAAAGAGAAATTCTCCAAAGCTTTGACAACTTGAAAATCCAAGGATAATTACAACAGCTCTGAGTAAAATAAAATTTTGTAAAAAGAAATCATGAAGCAAGATTTGAAACTTGATAGCATAACTGTGTATAAAAACTGTACATAAAAACTGTGCGATATTGAAGAGAAGCATTGTTATCAAAAAATATTTTTAGCTTTGTTTTAATAGAATTATATACATTATTCATTCATTATTTACGAATTTAATTCGCATTTTACGCATTATATACACAAACATAAAGAAGTTTTAGTTCTATAATAATATAGACCCGACAAAATTGTTTTAATCCAGAAATTAGACATTGGTATTTTTATATATGTACTTTGACGTTTTGAAACTGGATCAGATATTCAAATTGCTTCACAGACAATTTTTTTCTGTCGATAGAAAATAACGTGAATTTTCAGTATTTTTAATCAATCAACTTGCATATTAACTTAAGCTTGTATTATCATTGAATTACTTTTTTCTCTTTTACATTAACTTGCATATTAAAAATCAGGTCATGAATGGCTTTATAAATGCCACAAAATTGAATTATTTTCCGTCAATAAAAAAAATTATGATAGAAAGATTTTAACACCGGATTCAATTAAAATACATATAAGAATTTCATAGTCTAATCTTCGAATCAAATATTAAATTTTATTTAGTGTAATCTATAAGAGGTATTAAATTATATAAAAAATTATACAAATGAAGTAAAATGTTTCATAAGTGCTACAATATAATCGAAAATAAAAAAATAAGTAACTTTTACATTCACTACTAACTACATTGAGATAATTATTTCTAATGAATGAGAAACAAAATTCGGAAATAAAATAATAAATTGATGTATATTCTAAATCAACTATATTCTAAATCAACAATATCTTTCCAAACATTTTATTTTATAGATTTAAATTATATGTTTATTAAATACCTCGCCAATGGCTATGGTATATGGCCCGATCCACACATATCTTTGAGTGACTTTTGTTGGCTAAATATACGATTCGTTATCATCATATATAATATAAGTCTGTACGTATCCGCGCCGCAAATGATAAATGTGATCCGTGCTTGGGGTAATGTGAGCCGAATGGTGGAGAATTTTGTCTCCGCGAATTCTAGCTTGATGACAGTGTTCAAATTGATCGTTACTTCGTATCACGGGAAGAGTAAGTTCACTTCACGCAACAATGTGAATGTCGAATATATTTATTTTACTGTTCATGATATGTTAATACTATATTCACCTTATTTAAATACTTACTTAAATACAAAATGCCCAGATAATGTTCTATATATATATATATACACGTGTGTGTGTGTGTGTGTGTGTATACAAACATGTGCATATCTACATACATATATACGTACATATATTTTTTACTATATGTAATTATACATACATACAAAAAAATTATTATTTTTTTTCTTATAAAATATTCTGAAAATTGAAAAAAAATTTTTTTAGAATTTTTTAATACCGTATTTTCTTATATTGGTACAAATAAGAAAATACAGTACTAAAAAGTTGATACAAAATTCTGAAAAAATTTTTAGAGTTCTATCAAAAGAAAATAGATGATTTTTTATCTCTTGCAGTTTTTCTGTAAAGTTGATAGTATTTGAGTAAAAAATTATTGAAGACCAATATTCAGCGATTCAGTTTTTAGTAATTAATATTTTGTTAATTATTGCGAAAATTGCAAAATGGTAAAGAACTTTTCGACTTAGTTTAGTCCGCTCTATCTACACAAAAGCGAATGGCCAAAACTTACGGGACACTCTGTATATAAAATATTGTGTAAGATTTGCCATATATATATATAAAATATCTTATTTCAAACATAATGAGTCGAATATTTTGGAGAAATTAAAAAAAATAGAAAGTTTCAAATAAAAATTGTACGGCCTGAAGCGACACAAATATTGAAAAATTGTAAAAAATAAAAATATCAGATATAGCTTACTTCAAAAATCTTCTACATTGAATCTTTTTTTAAGATTTAAACATTAAAATTAATAATAAATAAATAAATAAAAGATAAGAATAAGAAATGTATAAAAATAAATTTTCAAGATATATAAGAACAGTCGACAGTTACTACAACTCAGTGTTATTTATGAAATGCAGTGTTATATATTAGCTTGTTAGCTGTATTTTGAAAGCTTTCAAGTTTACACGGTAAGTGAAATAATTTATCTTGTTTTCTGCAAAGTCATATAAAGAATATAATACATATACAGGATGCCTCAAACTGTTTGTCCGCTTGTCCGCAGGAAGACCGAACTAAACTTGGTCGATAAGTCTTCTACAATTTTGCAATTTTCGCAATAACGAGATATTAATTTCTAAAGATTGTCGAATAAGCGGGTAAATCGACGTATAAGATAATTCTAAGATATCTTTCTTTAAAAGATGTTTCTTAAAAAACTTTTAAAAATATCTTATGCGTCGATTTTAGACATTCTGCCTATTGAATAAGTAAAAAAATTGCAAAAGTTGTATATATATATATATATATATATATATATATATATACACATTGTACATATATATATTAAATGTTTTAATTTTTTAATTTATGTATATACAACATATATGCATATTAGATCTCTATAATATAATCTTGGATAAATATATGCTTTTAGACAATAAAAAGTAAATTATTTATTTATATTATCTTTTAGTGTTATAACTGAATCTTTTAAATAACGCAGTATTTAAAAAAGCAACGTTTGTAATCGATTCTTTAATGAAAAATATGATGGTTATATGTTATTCATGTTACTATTGATCGTTCTAAAAAGAGTTTATACAAGTATTCACGCAGACAATAGTGGCTGAATTCTTTGTATACTGAGCAAGCGCAAAATCACGGCGGTTTAGTATAATCGCAGAGAGCGATTCAGTCAAACGATAATTTTTGCGCTGTGAACATCAATGAATACCAACGAAGGTAGAATATAACTTAACACAAAATAGTAAAAATGTGTGCACCGCGATGTTCTATTAAAAATATAATTATATAAACATAATTATTGTTAATATGCTTAATTTTTAATATTTTTAATAATCTTTTTAATCATGTCGCATTATCTTAATTTAATTTGCTTTTTTTTTATTTTATTCATATAAAAAAATATTTAAATAATTATATTCTATTCACCATTTGATATGTTACTTATTTTATGTATTTATCGAGAAAAAAGTAGAGTCACAAATATATATCTTCAAAATCAAGGTTTGTTTATTAAAGAAAAAGATCACTTCAATAATTTGTTTGTCAAAAATTGCAAAAAAAGCATCCTAATTTTTTGTGAGGAGTCTATAGATCTCTTATAGAAGGTTAAAACTTTGGTGGTCCACGAAAGTTTGCGGGAATGGAAATAAAACTTTGCACACTAACAAAAAACGTTTCGTTTTCGGGGAAAAGTTTGCATACAAATTTACAGTGTTTTTGAGTGGAAAAGTTGGATAAAACCAAATTACATGAAACAAATGATCAATTGCGCACAAATCGCTTTTCGTCTATGTTTCCAGTGAAAGAGTTTATACTAGAGAAAAATTCTCCAAAGTTTTAACAACTTGAATATTGAAGGATAATTACAGCAGCAATTTTTTGTGACGATAAAATTTTAAAAAGAAGAAATCTTGAAGAGAGATTTGAAGCTTAAACAGAACATAATTATATATAAAAATAGTGCTAATAGAAATAGAAATATTATGATTAAACATTTTTAGTTTTGTTTTAGTAAAATCATACATATTTATTCACTTTATTCATTATTTATTACTTTAATTCTCATTTTACGCTACATACACGAATCTAGAGAAGTGTTAGTTCTGTTCTGCATAATAATTTATATTAACAAATTGAATAAGATGTAAGTGAAGTGAAATCTTTTGAGTACTACAATACATTTTAAAAAATAACTTATAATTACTTCTACGTTCATTAATAACTACATTTACTAGATAATTACTTCTAACAAATGAGGAAAAAGTATTAGAGAGGGATTAAAATAATAAATTAATATATAAGTTAATATAATAAATAATATTAAGAATCTTTATTTTAGACTGCATATGAGAAAAATACCTGTTATGGTCGAAGCTAGATCTTCATTGCTTTAAATAATTCAATCTTGAATTACTAATATATACTATATATATAAGATATTAATAAATGTTTATTAACATCTTTATAATATGGTGCTTGATGATAGCATCAAATTATTAAATTGTTTGTCAATTTAATTCCCGATTACTAGAGTAGTTTTAATTGCGTTTATAGTCCGGAAAAACAATTCGACGCGCAGTTTTAAAAAGACAATAAGACTACTATATAGTATATATTAGTAATATATTCAAGATTGAATTATTTAAAACAATGAAGATCCAGCTTCGACCATAATAGGCATTTTTTAAGTATTGATTAATATAATAAGTCTAATTTAAGCGACTTTAAAAAAAATTTTATTTTGTAGATTTGAATTATATGTTTACTACAACTCGCCAATTTCTACGGTTATTTGGCGTATGGCCCGATCCACATATGCCTTTAAGTGACTTTCGTTGGCCAAGCATAAGACTCATTATCGTCATATGTAACATAAGTTTGTACATATTTGTGCCGCAAATGATAAATGTGATTCGTGTTTGGGGTAACATGACTCGAATGGTGGAATATTTTGTCTCTACGAATTCCAGCTTGATGGCAATGTGCAAATTGATGGTTACCTGGTATCATGGCAAAAGTAAGTTTATTTTACGTGACAATGTAAATGTCAGATAGATTTACATATTTTACCATTTGCGATATAAAATGTCAAAATAATGTATATCCTCCTTATTTAAATACAAAATATCCAGATAATGTTTTTTATATAAAAACTCCGATAGCATACATGTTCAAAATCCGAACATAAAAGACAGTTTATATTACGATGTTTGAAAGACAGTTATTTTTAATTTAATATCTAAGGGCGATTTCGACTATATTTTGATTAATTTACTCTTTCAAGTCATATATGTATTAACGTCTTTAAAAAATAATATATTTAGTAAATATTTAAGATAGGAATTTAAGATTTCTTACGTGATTTTGGACATGGTGTTAGAAATGTGCTGGTTTTAATAATTTATATGTATTCATATTGACGTTTATACTGGAAGAACTTCAGCAACTGATAGTGTCAATTATGACTGATTGGATGACTGCGACTAACTGGGAACGAAATATCATGCTGAAATCCGCGAGACATGGCAGAAACATATCCTTTAGATGTTGTGCAACCGTAATAGGGTTACTTATAATGTCATTTTATTTTTATATGATCAAATTCATTAAAATTATACACCTACCTTATCGGACCCTGATCTATCGAATGGATAATATCCAAAAGAGTCCGACTTACGAAATCACATATTGTATTCAATTTCTCGGCGGTATGTATTCACTTCTCGCTATCTACACGATCGACAGTTTTGTCTCAATACTTGTGCTGCACACATGCTCGCAGCTCACAAATCTGCGGATGACATTGAACAATCTAGTGAACGAAATAACTAACGATTCGATATCTTCTTCGAGAAAAGAGAGCTTTAAGAAAGGTTTAACTGCGATTGTTGTACGACATGAACATCTTATCAAGTATGTTAGAAAATTTCCAGTGCATTAATAATATTGAAGTATTTATATAAGCTTATTTGCTATCTAATTGTACATTCCTACAATTAGATAGCAAATTATTTTTAAGACAAATTTAAAAATAAATTTGAGCGTCCTTCCTTTATAAAAAGAAATATAGATATATAATATAATCACACCGGAAAAGTAGTTTTACTAAAATATCTAAAAATTTAGGTAGATACAGATTTGAAAATAATTTTATCAGGTCATCAAAATTAAATAATTATGTAGAACGTTACAAAATTTTTTATTTTTAAGCATTGCTCATCATGCTTAAGATTCCTACTTAATTATTTTAATAGTCTAAACAAAATTATATTTAAATCTCTATCTAGCTAAATTTTTAGATATATTAGTAAAAATAGTCTTTCTGTGTACAAAAATATTCGCTTACTTCTTTTTTCTTTTAAAATATATTGTATTTTTAAGAAGGAAAAATTACAGATTCATTATATTTAAGTACAAACATGATACAAAATATAAAATTAAATCATATAAATTCAAATAGATTCAAAATAAACATTCGAACTTAAAACTTTTTTATGATTTGTATTTGTTAAGAGCTCCTAAGTAATAAATCGTTAATGTATAACAAGTGAATAATACACCTACAAATTTTCAAGGAATGCAAAGACGATTGACAGCTGCTACAGTTCATTATTATTTATGAACATATTATTAGCCATTTTACAAATGTGTTTTATAGCTTTTCAAATTTTCACGGTATGTAAGATTACTTATATGTGTTTTTTCGCGGGTATTTTATAAAACGCTTAAATTAAATGAATATTAAATTTACTAATAATATCATTTTATTAAATAGATAACTCCGGTATATACGCCACACCTATCACAAACTTAATTTATTAAATATTATTTATTATGTTTAAAGTAATCGAACTATATCAATAAAAACTTCATACTGTTTATTACTATAAAAAAAATATTAGAAATCTGAAATATTTATTTTTCGTATTAAAAAATAAATTTTTTGGATGCTTGCATTTTTGCCGCATATCCCATAGGGATATATGGTTACTTATAAGGGAAGGGGGGAGGGTATGTACGATTCATAAAAAATTTACAAATAATGCATATAAATAAGACGTAAAATGACACAATATCTTATAAAATGCGTTTATACAATTTCATTAAGGAATAAGAACGATAAATATGTGTATGAAATAACAAATAATAATTACAATCTTCCTACATGTATTACAAGTGTTATGATATGAGGCATATATTTCATGTAATACGTTTATTGCATTTAGTAGCACTGAATTCAATCTGCGCACTTTTTGAATGCTGTGGGCATAAATCTCACCCGCTAAAAATGTCGTATAAAACAGGTGAGATATATAAAACAACAAACTAAACAAGGAATATGAAAGTAAAGCACTTGTATTTTGCTATACAACATGCTTTACTATTCCTTTATGTATCATGAAATAACCACTAAGTCTTTTACGTGCTCTACAATAATCATTTTATGTAGATTATAATTTATGATGACACTACTTATTATAGTGACAAATCGATTCAACTCAAAATAATTTCATTAATATTGACAGTAAGAAACTGAAATCACAACACAATACTAATATAACATAAAGGATAACAGAGAGAAAGCATAACAGAGTAGTTGCGGGAAAATTATCCCCATTCCTTCTATTTTTTCTTACTTCTGCAACGTAAATCCCAGCGCGGCATATTTACCGGAGTTACCCTAATATAGCGTAATATATTATGTTAGATCTGCATTGTGCATTTTTATCATTTGCAACTATTAAAATATTTATTATTTTCAGATGATAACAGATCATTTAAAAGTACCTATGATCAGAATAATTTTTCTCTCATTTTATATCACCTATATGATGACGCATTTGTATGCATATTGCTATTCAGCTGAAAAACTTATGGCAGAGGTAAAATTTATGCGTGTTAATTCAGTACTTTTAATACAATTATATATGTTAATTCATGTAAAAAAATATATAATTTCAGAGCACCAATATGGCGTACGGCATTTTTGAATGCAAGTGGTACAACCTATCATCGAAAGATGCAAGAGACTTAATGTTCATTGTATATCGATCTAAGATTCCTCTTAAATTGACAGCTGGAAAATTCGGCATCTTTTCAATAGAGATGTTTGGATTAGTAAGATATATTTATAGAGTATAGAATACATTGTTTCGTCTATTGTGGTTATGATGTGAATATATGTCTCAATTATATAAAAATGCGAATTTTTTTGTAATTATTAACTTGGATATCATTTTTATTCTTTTATTATTTGTTATATGTATATGTACATATATAATGTATATATATTACATATATATATATATATATATATATATATGTAAATATATATGTATAGTATATTATGTAATAATAGAAAAATTATAAGAACAATGTGTAATTTATAACATATACGAAGATTTGTATTTTTATGCAAAATCTATATATACAGAGATTTTATTTCAAATGTAATGGATCAAGTATCTGGGAAAATAAGATGGATACAGAAAAATGTTTCAAATAAATGTTTCAAATAAATGTAGAACTATCTGAAGAGTAAATATTGGTAAAATTAATTGAAATTAATTTTCGAAAAAAATTTGCAACTTAAAACTTACTTGCTGTAGCAACATAGTTCTCGTAAAATTAAGTAAAAAGTTATTTGTAAATTTTTATTTTAAGCAGTAACTTTGAGATAAAGGTTTAAATGTCTATACTACTAACTAATACCATACGCGCGATTTAATTAGCGCGTATGGTATTAGTTGAAGAGCGCGCAGTGCGTTTACTAATGCTCACAAATAACTATGTTACATAAACATAAGCTGTAAAAAAAAATAAAATATATTTAAATTCTTATACCGCAGAATATATTATAGCTTAAAACAAAAATTCATAAATAACTCTTTTTATTTATTATAATAATAATTTTTCGAAAACTTTCTTGCTAAAGCATTTTGAGGCACGAATTTTAGAATATCTTGTAATGCATGCATGCGTGCGTGCGTGCGTGCGTGCGTGCGTGCGTGCGTGCGTACATATGTATATGAGTATATTTTTTATTGTACATACATGTTATGTATTATTCGTAGCATCTATCAGGAGATACGGTAGTGTCTCGGCGCTAAGCCAAGTGCAGCGACACTATCGTGGTCCTTTACGTGAAACCGTCATGATTACTTAAAATTGTATCTCTTAAAACATAAAACTATATTTATGTTCTGTATTCTGTTTAGGCTATCAAAACGGCAATGGGATACTTATCAACATTGCTAACAATCAGAGGTTAAAAAAAATGATACTAAGAGATAATAATAGCAAACGGATTTCTTACAACGGATTATGGCATCGATTTTTGAATAATAAAATAAACAGATTTGTATGCACTTGTAACTTTTGAATTAGAAAAATGCACATGCTCCAGTTTAATTATTATTTAAATATTAGTCCAGCTTTTCATCTAACATTATCCAACAATTTAATCATAAGATTTAAGAGAAAACATTCTAAAATTAAATATTGTAAAGAAAAAAACTTATCAATTTTATTGTATTGCAATAATATAAACTTCTATTAAGCAATTAAATAATTCTTATTTATCAAATATGATAGTTTAAGGTAATTAAAGCTTACATCAATAATTTAAACGAATTCACATTAAGGCATACTCTAAAAAAATTGGTGTGAATTTAATCACGCGGTATCTATATAATTCTTACCGTGCTGGTATTAATATTAACAACATGTCGTAAATTTCATTTTAATTTCACACGATAGTGTTGGTATAAACACCAGGGGTTTTAAATGTACACCATGCTGGCATTAATATTAATACCATAACATGGCAAGAATTACATAAATACCGCGTGGTATCATAAATCCACATTAACATTTTTAGAATATACTACTACATTAAATTTTAAACAATAACTATATATATTATATACTTTTTACTACTTGTTTAACTTGTTATTTGTTAATTGTTTCTTTAGCATATTTAATATTACAATTGTGTAAGAATATTTATATAAATAAATGTAATGCAAAATAAATTTAATAAAACGAGCAAAATAAAATGACAAATAAAATTTATTTGAACGTAAATAATAGAAATCTTTACGGAATGTTTCGTATTTCACTAAGACTCAGTTTCACAACTCACTTGATTAATTTTTAACCAAGATTTAACTTATTCATTATCTATTTTCAATTCTAGAATTGGAAAGAGATGAGAAACAAGTTGAACCTCGCTTAAAAGTCAATCGTGAATTGTGAAACTGAGCTTAAGTCATCATCAGCCGCATCATTAATTCATTAAAAAACTTCTACTTTTTAATTGCATTGGGAAACCTTTTAAGTTTTCTCAGTAAGTGAAACAATTTGTTTCGTTTTTACATACATTAATATAACAAAAAAAATGAATTAAATACTAATACTTTAATTTAATAATGATCTTTTCTTAATTAAATTAATAATAAAGTGACTTTTTAATTAATATGATGATATCATATTTAAAAAAACAATATTCATAACATTCGGCTATTATCAATAACATAATAATTATATGCTATTCATTTCATTATTGATTGGTATTCAAAAGGGTTTACCGAAGTACTCACAGATGGTAGCGGTTGAATCCTTTGTGTACTGAGCAAGCGCAAAATCATAATGGTTTGGTATAATCGTGAAGAGCGCTTCAGTCAAACGATAATTTTCGCGCCGTGAACATCAATGAATGTTAATAAAGGTAAAATGTTAAAGGAAAAAAAACAAACAAAAGTCTTAGCGATGTTCTATTAAAAACAACCACTTCGTACAATATATATGATATAATGCAATATATAGAAATTGAGTATTTAAGATCGCGCGTTAATAAAAAATTTGAACCTGGTTTGAATTCTATAAAACTTCCAAAAAAGTTAATTATTAATTCTTTGTGTGATAAACTAATAGAGAGAATATACATATTATTAAATAAATAATTTGTTTCTTATATAATATTACTACGTGCGTGGATAATTATTTAATTTTCAAAATTTTTCTAATCTTTTTTCCAGTTTTGTTGGTCCAGTTTATCATACATTTTATTTTCTTTTTATTTCATAATTAAAAAGTCTTCTTTTGAAGTAATTATAATCAATTTGTTTAATACAGTATTTAGTAAAAATTTATTTATGGATTTAATAAAAAAGTAAACATAAAAAATAAAAATTTATAACGTTTTTAAAATAAATAATTGTTTATTAAAGGTCAAAAATTTTATAATTATTGTATAATAATTTGTTGCAAGAAAATCTATAAACTATTTGTTGTGAAGATCTAGAATTATAAGGCTTTTTATAAAAAAATCTGAGAAAATAACAATGTTTAATCTAATTTAACTATGATGTTTATTCTAAAATTTGATTTTATTAGATTTAAATTATATATTTAATCCGATTCGCCAATGGCTATGGATCTTTGGTATATGGCCCGATCCACAGATCCCATTGAATGAATTTCGTCGACCAAGTATAAGATTCATTATTGTTATGTGTTCTGTGAGTTTATATGTATTCGGTCCTCAAATGATGAATGTAATTCGTGCTGCGGGTAGCGTGACTCGGATGGTAGAAAATTTCTCCTCTGCAAATTTCAGCATGTTGGCAGTGTGTAAATTGCTTGTAACTTGGTATCACGGCAAAAGTAAGTTTATTTCCCACAAGAATAATTATCGAACAGATTTATTTTTGCGATGTAAAATATCACAAAATTAAACAACATCTTTATTTAAGTATAAAATATTCGAATATGTTTTATATAGAAACCCACGCATATTCAAAATCAGAACATAAGTCGTGACTTTTGCTATGATGCCTAAAAAATTTCTTAATGATATCTTTAAAACGTCTTATGTTTTATTTTGAACAATGCTATCTGGGAATTTGTTTTGTTTTAATAATTGATGTACTTATTAATATTCAATCTGGAAGCACTTCAATCGCTGATAATATCGATTATGACCGATTGGATGACTTCGACGAAAGAGTGGGAACGAAATACTATGTTGAAGATTACGAGAAGTGGCAGAAATCTGTCCTTTAAATGTTGTGCGCTCGCAACTAGCTCAATTACATGTCATATTTCTCTTCAATTGCTGAGATTCTTCAAAACTATTCACCAGCCTGAACGAAATCTCGTTTATCGAATAGAAACGATTCAAAAGAGTCCAAACTACGAAATCACCTATTTTATCCAACTTTTCGGTGGAATGTATTCAGCTTTCGCTAATAGCATTATTGACAGCTTTATCTCGATGCTCATACTACAAGTGTGCGCGCAACTGATAAATCTGCGGACAATGCTGAATAATTTGGTAAATAAATTAGCCAACAAATCTATATCATCCATAACATTTAGAGAAGGCTTAGCTGCGATCGTCGTACGACATGATCATCTCATCAGGTATGTCTTAGAATCTCACATTACTTAACATTGCAATGAAATATCTATAATCATTCTATGATAAAAGATTATTTAAAAAAAAAAATTTGAAAATAAGATTTAACATTCCTGATCTCATATTACATATAATAACAAATATTTGTATATGTATTGTATTATAAAAAGATATTTGTTGATCAATCTTTTTTTTTAATTTCTTGTGCCTTTAAGCAGCAAAAGAAAATTTAACACTACTAAATTTAAATAAACACAATAAAACATATGAAATTGAAGCTTAAATAATGATAAATTCAAGATAGAATAAAATTTTTTAAATATTTATACACATTAAAATTCGAGCAATAAATCATTAACATAACAAATGAGTAATGTTTTCAAGGACCGCAAAGACGATTGACAGCTGCTACAGCTCAGTGTTATTTGTACACGTGTTATCTACTACTTTTCAGATGTGTTTTATAACTTTTCAAGTTTTCACTGTAAGTGAAATCATTTATACACGTTTCTTTAAATAGAGGACATTGTTTTATTACATATTATTTCCAGATAATAACAAATAATATGAACGTGTCTATTATGAAAATGATTTTTCTCACATTATACTTCAACTTAGTGTTGTTCAGCTTGTATGCATATTGCTACTCAGCTGAAAAATTGATAACGGAGGTAAGACAACTACGCGGATTATGGATTAATACGTCCAGATCTTATGCAAACTAATAAATTATGAAATATGCAGTATATAAAAGCAACAATTTATTTTTACTTTTTATATAAAGTAAATATTTTATATAAAATAAAAGTTTCCAAGTTTCTCTATTTCCATAAAAGTTTTCACAATGAGAAATGAAAGAAAATTCTCGAAAAATTCATAATTAATTCACTATACAAAAAAAAATTCTGTGCGAAATTATGTAATTTTTAGAGCACTAGAATGGCATATGGCGTCTATGAATGCAAGTGGTACGATCTATCGTCGAAAGACGCAAAAAATTTAATGTTCATTGTACATCGATCTAGAATTCCTCTTAAATTGACGGCTGGAAAATTCGGAACCTTTTCGTTAGAAATGTTTGGAATAGTAAGATATATTTACGAGAAGAATATATACTCCTTTATCTATGTATACAATTTATCTTTATCTACATATTAATGAATATGTTTATATAGAAACATCCCTATTCATAATCTAAATTAGATTATTTTTTATTTTATTATATTGAAAACATTTTTTACAAAAATTTCATATATTTTATATTATATTATATATAAGTATATACAGTATATATTATAATATATATGTATTACATTTTATATATTATATATTTATAGATTATATATTTTATATTATATTATTATTATCTATTTCTATCCATTATAGGATTATGTAAAATTATATTTTACTTATAATTTTACTCTGTTTACAGGTTTTGAAAACATCAATGGGATACTTATCAGCGTTGCTAACAATGAGAGATTAAGGAAAACGATATTAAAGGAATGATAACAAAATTACTTTCATCACATTACATCAATTTTTAAGTAATGAAATGAAAACAGGCTATATCGATCTGTAATCACTTTCAAATTGGAAAAACATATTTTTGCACAATATGTCAAATTATTATTTGACTATTACTTGTTGAACTATTTATTTACTTCCATTTAAAAGATAAAAATTATTGGATTTATTGTATTGCAATAATACACCTATTAAGCAATTAAATAATAATACTTGCATATCAAATACAAAAGCAATTCATAATTCAGGTAGGAACTTACATCAATAATTTAAATAAACGTACGCCAAGGCATACTATCATATTAAATTTTAGTAAGTAACTGTATTCTATTTATTATTTTTAACATGTTATTCCTTAATGGTCTTTTAAATAAAACGTGTTAATATTATATTTATGTAATAAATAAATTTACATAAACATCTTTATGTAAATTTATTTTTTTAAGATATGTAATATCCTAATTTTTTATTATATATAATATGATTTTGAAGACTCACAAAATTTCAAATTATTAGACTTATATGAATACG